CACAGTATTAAAACATCTGAAAAACTGTTAAGCGATACGTTGAATGTCCGCTTAAAGACAAACAACAATTTGGTGTTATAAGGTCGTTTATTTCTAGTATTATATGGAATAGTCATTGACGTAGGTAGCATAAGGAATGTGGTATACCGCGCTAACACCACTTGGTCTGACTTGAAAATATATATTATATTACATTATTCTTTTTTTTCTGCCCTTGGATGAGTAGACTTTTCTGGAAAGCTTTCGTTCCAGCATTACGGTTATTTTCACTAAAGAAAAAAGCATAAAACTTCTGAAAATGAGAATCACCGTAAAACTGTAATACGGAATTTAAAGTATTGATATAAATTGTTATAATATCATGTATGTTTCAAAATGTTAATGCGTCTTAGATAAAAAATATATATACATGCTTAATATTCTAAGAATATTTTCACAATAAAATGTGTATGAAAATTATTCAGGTACACTGATGTCCTTCAGATGGTTACGAATGTCCACAAAACATAAATAACAGAAATTTAATGCATGTATAGAAATTAATACGAACAGTAAAAGAAAACAAATAACATAACGGAACAAAATATCTATTCACAGATAATGTTGGTTCTCACATTGACCAGTTTCTATTCAATAGAGTGACGTCAACTTGTTGCTGGTGTAAGAGGACTTCGGAAAAATAAATGAAGATTATTCGCGAATTGTGTGAATAGCTATTCAACACAATCTACTGGAGATTATCAACATAATCCAATACAAAGAGATCATCAGAGCTATAAGCTATCTAAAGATAGCTATGTAAACATAAGATACACTATGTAAGATAACGTAGCGTAACGCAGCAGTGTATCTCACTATGTAAGATAACAGTATTTCTCAAAATGTAATATAACAGTATATGTTATTATGTAATACTACTTCTCATATATCACACAATAGTATTTCTCGTAACATAATGTAACTACTTCTCATAATGTAATGTAACAGTACTGTTGCGTCATCGAGATCACGTGACAATTCTCACGCTCTCTTGTTTCTAGAACTATCCCGTATCTTGGCGAATGGTCTAGTATTTACTAGTAGGGTAGGCTGGTATATATATAAGAGGGGAAAACGTGACGCGGTAATGTAAGGTAATGTGTGTGTAGACAGTGAGTAATTGAACTGCAGTCACAGCGTATTGTTGAAGTTAACGTTCGTTCGTTACAGTGTTGTTTTAGCGCGAGTATTGAGATTAAGTGTATCGGTAAAGTTGTATTCGGAAATAATAAACCAGTTTTATTAAGTAAAGACTTGTGTCGTTAAAGTTTCGTTGGAACGAAGTTACGGAAAAATTAATTAACAGGCGGAGACGTAACAGTATCAACATAGTCTAAAAGCTAACATTAAAGTAGAGCAGTGAGCCCTAAATGAAACAACTTTGAAAGATGGAGTTTCGTTCTACAACAATGAAATCATTTCTGAGCCTAATCCCATTGTAATACAACCTTTACTGCTTGACGAATGACATCTGCTCGAAACGTCGCACAAAATAAACTGGGAAAGTTTTCATTTAGACGTGTCAATTTATTCATTATTATATTCTATCCAAATTTTTCTTCCTACGTCTTGAAAAATGATACTCATTCAAATATAATTATTTTATAGTTAATTATACTCGTCATAGGTCTAACATAATGTCTTATGACATGTTTAATTAATTAATCATGCTTCTCCATCTTATAAAAGGTGTTCACACCAATAACAATTGTTTTGGGATATTGTTGTTTTGCTATTTGCACTTTGTTTACCATGTTATTCCATAGTTTACAGTGTGTGTGGGGGGATGCACGGCTTGTTATACTGTATTGTTATATATGTAAAGCATTCATCACCTTTTGATGAGTGAAACTCTGTAAATCGTCTTTTATAAAGGCATATTCCAAACAAATAAGTATTAACAATTTAATCGCTATGTGTACGTCAAAAGAACATGTTTTATAGAGCATGAAAAATTTCAAGTTGAAGTCAAACCAAGGTTTAAAATTTGACTAGAGGGTAATATATACTAGTAGGGGAAAAAAATGAAAACGCTGCAAAGAAAGACTGCACAAAATGTATAACTCTTGGACACCCTCCCCCACCAAAGTTAATCAGGCCCTGGTTGTGAGCTGATTTAAAGCTGTATGTTTTATACAACAATGATTATTATGCTACACTTAGCATGAATTCTTCGCTGTGATAGACTGAAAACGCATCACGTTGTGTGACATATACGAATTTAGGCCTTGAAAAGCCTAGACTGCATGATTGTTGCTTGATTGTCAAGGATGTTGATAGGATAACAGTTTTTTGGAAGCACATTGAAAACACGTCGATTCATTAAAGCCTAATTACAAACTATTTTCTCAAACCTTTAAAATGGACGGAGACATAGCAGATGGCGTAAGCTTTCAGTTTCATGCAGATGATGAGTTGCAGAGTATAGTTGTGGAAAAGGACAGTAAGGGTTCTAAAGACATCATCAAAGGAGCTGTAAACTATCCAAGGGATAATGCACTGCACCGAGTGACACTGTGAACGACAACCTCGGAAAACTCGCCAGCATTCTAGGAACATTTATGTAGAAGTAAGATGGGTGCATTCTTATACTTTTATTGTAACATATAGATACTTGAAGTTGCAGTCCTTTTTGTGATCCGATATTCAATGATAAATTTATTGAATAAGTGTGGCCAAATCCTTCAATAACTAAATTATTTCTCTTATAAATATTATAATCACTTACAAAATGGGTGATATTGTAAGATAGCAAATTCTATTTTTTTTTGTTATGGTTTTGTTCATCGTTCATTTATTATACCTTCTATCGTTTAGTTTATCTATGAATTTTCAGTTACGTTAAAATGCTTACTTACCTTCTAGCTGATCACATTTATTTTGAGTAAATATGTATGTATTGTGAAACTGACACCAGCTTCCCTCGTGGTGACGTACATATATCATTAATGTAGCAAAAGCCTATGTAAATTTATGATCACATGAGATGTACTCTCGTGACCTAACGGGTTGAATAAATATCCTGCCTTAAGCTTCATAAACTAAGTAACTAGATAATGGTTGGAGACGGCTTGAATGGGTAATGAAGAAAAA